GGGACAGTCCACTACGTTACAAAAAAATAAAGAATCTTCCTGCCTTCTGCGTGGAAGATTCATTCTCGTTTACATATTTGTGAGGGCGCGTTCATTCTCGTTTTACAATGTTACATATTTGTGAGGGCGCGTTGTCGGACCAAATACCCTTACATTTCGCCATGTTTTTGCAGCCGACACAGCAACGACATCGACGGGATTGGTCTAAAGTGAAGAGTGGGAGCGCTTTCGCGTGACACCATGAGACAGACGCCTCGACCACTAAGGTCGAGATTGTTAAATGATTGCGCAAACTACCGCGGCACGCGCAAAAGACAAAGAGGATTAGTAATTAAAATCTTCAACCTCAACGGAAGGAAGGTTAGTCGAGAAGAGGAAAGTCGTGGGGAATGCAACAACAATGTTCTAAGTTAGTCGAGAACTCGGCCTATACGAAAATTTTAATTAATTAGTTCGAGTCTGCGAACAATGAAAGCACTGGTTTACTGGGATCGACGATTCGCTCCACCATAGACTCCAATACGGGTTAAAGATTAATACAGGCCCGGGCCATATGGTCGGGGCAACCTAAAGAATGTGTTTGTCTACCACAACGGCTGTACAGCGGATAAATACAACTAAGCGTTGCCTTGAATCAGGACTTGGGCTCGAAATGTTAGCTAAGCTAAACCTGAACATTTATTTATAGCATATTTTTTTCTCCCTTATTCGGGGTATGAGCTAGCCTAGTAGGTCCAGGCACGAATTGTTAATCAACAGGTATAGGGAATGAATCTTTTGAACCTCCAGGTTAGCTTTTTTTTAATAAGGAGTCGAAGCCCACTCGATCACCATTTCATCCTGCTCTCCGTCTAGCAGGGCTCAAACGCATGACCTTGACACTAGAAGAAGTCATGATTAACAATATAGCAGTTGTCCGCACGAGGCACGTTACAAGTTACAACTATTTTTGTTAGATTTTTTTTTTCTTTTTAATGATTTTTTTCTTCACGAATATCGTATATTTACCTTTAAATTATATGAAAGATTTTTCCCTTAGGTTTATTGATAGGTGTAAAGAAAACTCTATGTCTATCTATCGCAACCTACGAGAGCGCCTAATGCGAGGGGCATTGCTCCCCAACCAATCCAACAATGAATTAATATTTTTTAGAATATGAAAAAATACATCAAAAGCAACGAAAATGAAAAAAAAAAAAAAAAAAGTAAAATCAAATGAATTGGAAATAAGCTTAAACAACCGAACCAGAAAGTGTACAAAATGTGACTCGTAATACGGGATAAAGTCACGTCCAAGTTCATCATCAATACTCATGCCATCACAGGACAAGATATGATATCTTAAAACTTAAGATTATTGAACGTGAGCGTGGAATGTGAGCATGAGTGTAAGCGAAAATAAGGGGCCTGAAGGATGAGTGTAAGCGAAGTGTGAGCAGTTAAGATTCACTATCTCACTGCTCGATCAGAGGCCTGAAGGATGAGGATCAACGCATAAATCTAGAGGTAGATAGAATCAATTATAAAACCACATCTTCATTAAAACTCTTTTAGATCCAGATGCGCGCTTGAAGCTATGCAGCATCTCAGTTTTGCTAAGGCAACACGAGCAGTGGACTCGTGTGGGCCAGGGAGAGGAGTATAGCAAGGGCAAATGATATCGGGAAGTGTGAGAGTTAGAGCAAGTCGGGGATAGCGGGGCAGACATTGGCACGTAAGGAAGAGAGGACGAGCGGACGCGAACTTGCGAGTGAGGGGCCGAGTGTCAGATCTAGAACGTGGAGACGAAAGCGAATGCAAACGAGAGCTAGCAGAAGTAAGCGAGCGAGATAGGAAGCAAAGAGCGCATATGAGCGGGACAAAAACTAACACGCGATAAGGAGTGCAAACGGCGAAGGGAGTGAGAACGTGTGTAGTGAGTACGGTGGCGCTAGCGAGCAAGCAAACAAAAATAATCAAACATTATAGCAAATAAAATAGAGCAGGCGCAAGTGTGACAAACAAAAATGCGGGTACGGTTGTAAGCAAGTCGGCACAACTTGAGTAATAAGCGAATAGACGCGAGCGTGAAACTTGAAGTGGGACAAGGGATGAAGGAGAAACACATAAGAACATAAGGATGAAAAAAAACAAGAAATTTAATGTGGGAGTAAGTGCGAATGTGAATAGAGACGAGGATAAGCAGGGATATTATGACATCATGAGGAAAAGGAAAAACGCGTGTACGAGAGAAGCAAAAAAAATTACGACTGGGAAAACAACCGAGAGCACGATTGTGACGGGGGTGACGGGGGAGAGGAGTATGTGGCAGCTAGAAAAAAAAAAACAGAACAAACTACGAAAAGAAAGAAAAACGAGCATCAAGAGAGGATGAAGGAAGTGAGAAAAAGAAGGGATTACGATCGTTAAGAGATCTCCGACCATCTCTTTCCTCCGAACACAAAGCACCCTCATTTTCTTTGTACCTAACAAGACATAAAGTCTGTGTACGCTCGTTATTTCAGAGGCAACTTACACTGGCAGTAGAAAATCCGTAGCTAACAAGTGTAACCACGAAAGGACGTTTAAATAGAGAACTCAGTTCCCATGAGTAGAGCAGAGTAGCGAGCAAGGGGAGGAAAAACAAAGAAGGAAAGAAGGAGGCGAGGGTTGAAATAAAGAGGAAGACTCGTCTGTTTGGGAGCCGCTTGACATTCGACGAAGTCAACATTTGGGGAGGAGTTTGAGATCTTGTATTAAAGTTACTGAGGACTCCCTGCACTTATCTCGGTGGTATCGTGCTCGTTGGGACGATTTTGACATAACCTCCAAATTGTGTTGGACTCAAGTCACAGACGACTTTTTGAAGGAAACACTCATTGAAGGTAATGCAAATTTATTATGTTATTTTATATTATTATTATTACTATTATTATGGAACTCGCCTATAATAAAACGTAAGGACAAAACGATGATGAAACTATATGTATTTTGATTTAATATTATGGTTGTTGAATAACCATACAATATTTACAAAACAATGAGAAGCTTCGACAATGTATTTTTATATTTTATATAAGATTCATTATCATTTTTTTAGAGTGAATATTTGACACAACTATTTTATTCCCACTAACATAGCACACTTTTATTTTTGTCGTATATGATCGAAAAGGCAACCGGTATACATTCGTTTTCTCAAACTAAATCAGGCAGAGGGACGAAACTCGATTAGAGAGGAAAACAAAAAATAAACAGGAAAAGAAAAAAATGGTCGCGATCGTTTTCTCCCAAATACAAAGCACCATCATTCTCAGTTGCATTTGACTGGGGGATACGGTCTGGTGCGTTCGTACCCAGTCAGGTAGTCTAGCTAGAAGACGAGCGGAGTAAGTGACCAAGCAAGATCGCAGAGGGAAGGAAGAGAAATAATGTGAAAATTGAGTAGGGGGAAGAACATGGTGAGAGGTGAAGAGAAGGAAAAAATGAAAAGGTTTTATCCTTTATTTCTTTCTTGGGGATTGGATTCAGATAGGTACATCACATCCGTGTGGACCAAATTGTAGAAAGTTTTCATTTATTTTTATTATTTGTTTTGTCTAAATCTTCTTTTCTGGTCATCATGTTCTAACTCACTTCAACCTTCTGAAGGAGGTTTGAATGTAAGTTGGCAGCTGAAACCTCGTTGAAGTAAGTCAGAAACATACTTATGCATCTATCATCTACTTCCTTTTTAGTAACAGCAATGTCTATGGCTGAAGAAATACGTTGCCATACACAACCATGATGGTTATAGACTCTGTTTATATAGAACGAATAAAAAGCTAACTATCTCAGTTGGTTTAGGTCAATAGTGTTTCAAGAGGTGAAGAAGGAACTGGACCCACAATTTCCTAAATGCCACATGTATTATTAATGAACTGAGCAAGACTGCATAATCATACATTGTCATTCTCATCAAAGTGTGACCATCTTTTTCAGTTTATCTTTTACAAAGATTCTTATTTGTATTTTGCGTAGCACGGCGAACGTGTTCGCGCCCCTTCATATTCGCGCAAACGCGTTCGCATGTTCGCACGAACAACTCGCGAACATGTTCGGGCGAACATAATTTTTTTTCGTAAATTTTTTTTTTTTTAAATCAGTTTTTGATTCTTAACTCATGATTGGCTACGAATTTGAACCTGAGTCCAAGGCAAAAGTTGCTTGTATTGTTATTTTACATAACATATATTTTTATTTTTATTTTTTTAGAAACTTTTTTTTTTTTTTTTTATGTTAGCATTCGGAGGGTTTTGGGCGCTTGTTCGCGTTCGGGCGAACATGTTCATGTTCGCCTCCGAACGCGAACACGGTGCTACGTAGTGTGTATTATTATTATTATTATTAATTATTAAGGCAGCAACTGGTTAGTAATTTCTATTGTTGAAGCACATCATGGAGATAAGGGGGATGAAAGTCTTACCTGACCTATCTCGACATGTAGAATGTGAGCTTGCTAAGGGAAGCTAACATAAGGGAGAAGCATTTTGCCAGTAGTTACGCCTTCCATCTATTTCCTCAACTCCATTGAATAAC